TGCCGTAGACAAAATAACTCTGCTACGATGACTGCGTGAGACGAGACAGCGATGAAACCACACGAATCCACGCTCACACAGCCCTGAATCCCTTTCCTCCAGGGCCAGTGTGTTGAAGGATAGGCCTGGGGCGTGATGGAAGCGCGGGGCATGTTTACACGTCTCTTGTGCTTCCACGTACGGAATAAATATTCACCAGCCGGGGTTGAGATTGTCACGTCATGGGGGTAATATCCACAACGAGGTTTCACGCAAAAAACTTTACTGCTGTGCGGCACGCGTTCCTTCTCGCTCACCGCATCGTCCACCTCTTCCTTGTGCCGGGGCAAGCAGTGCATGAAAATGGCGTCGTCAGCTGCGACGGACATAAGCTCATCCGTCACCTGCACGAAACGGAGACAAACGGGCCGGTTGATGTATGTAGAATACCCGTGTGCGTGCTAAATAACGTCGACATTCTCGACAATTCAAACGAAGAAGAGGGACAGAACAAGACAATCACGTTGTAGAGTGACTTCACGCGAAAGCAAAGAGGAAAAACAAAGCGATGGGAAAGACAATCACCCACCGAGATACCAAGGCGACACAGCAGTCAACGGGCGCGTACTCACACGAGCCTTACCAAAGACGTCTCCTGTCTATCGCAAGGCATCATCATCACGACAAACCATGACAAGGTCAGCCTTAGAATCGCAGTGAAAATGTTACCATCTTGCAGCTTGACGGGAACATTAACGGCAACCCGGTGCCTTACGACTCGGCGCTAAGTCCATACACTGCTCGAAGAATCCTTGGGGCTTAGCATTCTCCCTAGCGACTGGATAATGGTCCAGGTCGAAGGATGTTTTTCGCTCTCTTTGTGGGCAGGCAGGCGTACTCGAGAGGCCAAAATCCAGTGCCTCGTTTTGTGAAACAAATCAACACCCCATCAACAGTCTGCTACTACAGGAGCACTGCTGGCTGCTGCAACACGGGTCTCCTGCCTGTCATACTTTTACACGATTGGTCATCTTGAGATGCTTGAAGCATCAACATCAAGAGTCCCTCCCTGCTTGCCTGGTATCCCTCGTAGTCTTTGATCCTCTTGGCAGCCTCCTCCTCTTGCCCCATGCTCACCCACGTATCCGTCGCCACCACGTGTGCTCCCGTCACCGCCTGCATCATTCAAGGCACACGAAAGTAATAATGGACGTCGGGGGTGAAGGAGGGAGTTATCGTCACAACAGCAGCAGCAGGCAGCAAACTTTCCGGAAACATCATGACCCACGCTGACGCAAACCCCTGGAAAACAAACCTTCGAAATTCAAAGAAAATTACCAAAAAATAAAACTCCTCTGATGTACATGGAACTCCAGACCGAATCAAATGGACGCTCCGGCCCACCTAAAAAACACGCAACGAGGTTAAGTCCTCCGGCATCACACACTCCCAACATGTTACCCGGACGTGCAGTCATCATATTCGTTTGCGTCTTCACAGGAAAGTTGTTGACCTTTTTCCAGTCCAGCATCTACTGCGGCTGCTGCCTGTGACGTTCAAAGTCTAAAAACCTGAGAGGCACAAAAACGGTGAGGATGGACAAACGCCCCCCCCCAATGTGCACTCGAAAGCATCCTGCAGTTGCCTGCACCTGGACAGACGACCACACCGTCCAAATTGTCCAGACCCGGGACGTCCAGCACACCGCGGAAACACCATCTGCGCCAGACCCCAACTCCAGACTCAAGAAACAAAAGGTTGATTACCTTGCTCCCTCCTACTCTAAGCGTGAGTTAAAAAAACTATTCAACTCTGTCCCTCTTTGCGCTTTTACTTTCTCGTTCCCGCTGGACAAGGGAAAAAAAGAGAGGAGGGTTTAGCACTTGCCGTGTCGTCGATGTATGCATGCGATTGTTGTCACTTTGTCTCTATCTCGCTCTCTCCGCCGCACCTCCTTGGGGTCTGCCGTGATCAACACAGACGATCCGCTCTCCTTTGCCAGCGCCTCGGTCATGGCGGTCACCGCCGGGTCCGGGCGGTAGCCCTCCGGAGTCGCGATCCGGAGGTTGATGGCTGTCAATACAAAAGGAACGGGAAAGACAAGACCACATGCTTGGCAACACTCTTCCACGCGACGTCGATAGGTCTATCGACGGCTGGTTGGTTCCAAAAATGACCACGGCACAGGCGTGTGCGTTTCGGGCTCGCTCCACCAACGGACAGCCTGCGTTGCGTTGGAGGCCGATCACAGGGCTCCATACGAAAACGACAACGCGATACCAAGCGCAGAGCAGCGTGGTAACATTTTTGAGGTTCTTTCGCCCCTCATCCCGCCCCTCTCCGCACGATTCGCAACGCGTTACCACGCAGTAGCAGCAACAGCAGTGCTAGAGGGGCGGGGGTCTGTCCGACACGCGCAGTCACGAGGCTGTTCGCCGGGCGGGAGTCTCCGGTACATTTCATACTCACCCAGCTTGGCCGCTCCGAGCATGAGGTCGTGCAGGACGTTGTTTCCGTCCCCTACCCACGTAAACGTGAGCCCCTCGAGCTTCCCGAACCGCTCCTGAACACAAGCACGATGCACGGGGATTGGGGAGTTGGCCGTCATGCTCAAAGAGGGAGGAAGCAACGCGGCCCAAGAACGCAACCACTACGCCGTCGTTGTCGTCTTCGCGGTGAGGACATTCCAAAGCATCAAGACAGCACTATCAAACCGAACGACACCCGGTAGAACGACAGTCCGCAAGTGAATCCGGTCATTCGGTCAAGAATCATCAACAAAACAAGAGGTCACATCGATACTGTCATGGTACACTCCAATCTAGATATTCTGTGTAGTTTTGCTCACGTCTTTTTGCTGGGGCTGTTGGTTTACGGTGGAGAAGGCTGAATAGTACATGGTAGATCAAAGGTCACCTTCCTTTGGTCTCCCACGTATGAAGGGCATTTGTCCCAGTCGTGCAAGGAACGTGTGTGTCGTGCACGACGACTAGCATCACACACAAGTGATGACTTTCACCGATTTTTCGTGGAGTAATCAACCGGATTGAACGGCGTTTCTCAGGCGGCGTTGATACCCGGCGTGCCTCGACTACCACATCAACGGCAGGATGTGTTAGGAATGCAAGTGAATCATAGAGTTCGCGAAACAATAACGATCACCCGTGGGAGTTCTTTCAGCGCTTCTCCAGGAGCGAGGATCATGCTCGGTGTTGGGGCGACCTCTGGCGCCTTGCACAGCAGCAGCAATACCTGAATAGTCATGAGGTCGGCGAGCGTCTGCAGGGGGTGGTGCAGGTCCGACAGCGCGTTAATGACTGGCACGTGCGCCTCCGCCTTGAGCTCCTCCACGTCGGCGTGGTCGTTCACGCGGGCGAGCAGGAGGCTGTTGAAACCGGACAAGACCTGGACAAGCCATGCACACGTGCGAGGCGGAGGGGTGCGAGGCAGGCATGTGTTGCTTGCTTCCCCCTATGCGAACGCACCAAATGGTAGCTGCGTGATTTGGATAGGGTGCACAGCATCGGAAACCACAAGATAAGATCATGAACGACCTCAGCAACAGCAGCAGAGCCCATCCACTGACCTTCGCCGTGTCCTTCATGGACTCGTTGACGCCGAGCTGAATGTCGGTGGGGCCGAGGAAGAGGGCTCTACCCCCGAGGAGGCCCATCCCGGTCTCCGTCGACACGCGCGTGCGGGTCGAGCGCTTCTGAAAGATCATCGCCACGGACTTGCCAATGAGCTTCTGCTCCTTCTGCTTAGCGCGAGTTACAGCAGTGCGCGGCCAGTGAGGGCGAGGGCAGTGCTTGCTACGCGATCGAATCTTGCAAGATCGAAGATCATTGTTGGTGCTCAATGTTTATCCCGCATTTTTTGTTCTTGTCCGAAGCACCTAAGAGGTGAGAAATCAATTCCTTGGTTCGTGCAATTACTCTCGCCCCGAGAGATACAGGACGACAACAACATGAACACATTGCGGAGAGAACAAAGTCTTCCCCACGCTACTCCGAATACGGCAAGCTGGTAAAGGCAAGGCGGCAAAAAAAAAGTCTAGTCTATGCATGTGCGTAGTCTACATAGATTGCCTCGACTTTTAGTAGAGAGGGAGGCATGCAGGAAACGGCTCCCAGAACTGACACAATGGTATAGATATGCTCGCACTATCAATATTGGTGGCTGCCACTGCCATCCTCGCGCTATCCGGCAGCTACGCATACAGCCACAGTACCTCTATCGGGGTCCGCAGCAGTTAGTATTCCATGGCATGTGTACCGGGGCATGCGCATACCTCGATACCGCTGCTGCTGTCCTTGAAGGCTTTCTTGAGGGCGATCGAGCAGTCCAGCAACTCGATGAGCTCCGCTTTGCTGCCGTGGTGGGATCACACAGCCGAAACCGTACCAAAAACGTGTCACATCTGGGACAACATGCATAGATCGCGGCGGCAGGAGCCAACCGACACCTTGCGTGCTTGAACATGACTACAAAACGACTTGCACTCAACACCCGCATGCACAACAACGTGTCGAACGTGGCTTTGAAAGAGCCGGGGGCAGGAGTCAAATGCTGAATCTAAGAACAGGAATCGCTGTTGGGTGTCCAGTCCAAACATCAGCCTTGCTTGCGTTTGCATACACACGGACGGTATTGCTTGGTCTGGTCAACGGCAACCAGCATACAGGGGGCGCTACTATCCACACCGGCCGCATGATCTGCTTCGGCTCTCGAGCAGCGCTCCATTGTTTACCTGAGGTCCGCAATGGACATAAGCGAGCGCCCGGCCAATGACTTCACGCCTTGCACACCAGTCATACTGCCAGTTTTCGAGGGAAAGGAAGGGAGAGTGGCGTGTGTGGGGCGGCTGTGTCTGCTGTCTGCTGTCTGCTGTGCAGTGTGGAAAGTGGAGGATGGGGTAAGGATAGGATGCCTCTTGGGGGTTACGCGAATTCAATCACCCAGAACGTGTACCATACCCCAAGTGAGATGAGATGGTCACCTGTTTCACGCACAAACCACCAGAGCACAGAGGGGACGCTACGAGGAGCGCTGCTGCCGCCGATTCTATCCACCACCCAGGCCATGAGCCGCTTAAGCTACAGTGAGGCCCGGGATGGCATAGTGCACGGCGTGTCTGAGGAAGGGGTAGAGACGAAAGGGCCGTCAAATAGGTGCGAGAAAGAGTTGGTCCACAGAGAGCAGCATCACCCACGAACAGCAATGTGTTCGTGAACTATCTCGTGCAGATACCCTAGATGTGTGTGTGTACATGCCGCCTGGTTCAACGTGCATGTCAGCCGTATAGAATCGACACAGCAGTAGGATAGTCGAAAGTTGTAGCAACGCTTTCGTGCGAATGTTTAGGGTCGATTTGCCGAACTGCTGTAGCGATCCTGTTTATTCCCGTTAGTGTACGTATCGTACAACAGCGGTAGTCTAACGCCCATCAGGCGGACACACCGCCTCGAACGAAAGTGCTACAGCTTCGGGAGGGGGTCTGCGTCGGCGACCAACTTTGATGCCTATCAGTCGATGGATTCGCTGGCGGTAGGTGGTTCCTCTTCAATCCTTCCTCACCGCTGAAATTCTAGGTTCATCGGGTTTGTAACCATCCAGCGGTGTTACCGACCAAAAATGCGGATTCATTTGCCCCCTGCAGATTGCACCCAACAGGCACCAACAACGATCATTTCCCTGCCCCCATTCGCCGACTATTTTGAACTCTCAGCGGTGGCAAACGAAAGCGAGCGCGGGACGACGACATCGACGGCGTGGCGGAAGCAGAAGCGAACGGCGAGAGCGGTGGGGCGGCGAGCCCGGGCGCAGACTCGCTCAGCTCTTACTCGCTCATGGGTGTCGCCGACGGAAACGACGGCCAAGATGCTGCCGGAGGGGTATGTACGGTGGTAGAGGCAGAAGCAGCGGCGGACCGGGCACGATCGTCATCGGCTGATGGGAACGCCGGTGCTGGTGCTGATGCACCTGCTGCTGACGATGATGATGATGAGGTTGTAGAAATACCGCCGCCGTCAGCGGCACCTGCAGTTATGGAGGTGTCGGAGGAAGCAGTCTCTGGTCCACCAGGTACAGCTGCGGCCCCTATCTCGATAGAATCTGGTGAGGCTCCGCAGAAGAAGAGCAGGGGTCGCAAATCGAAAAAAAATCAGAAGGCGACCGCGAAAGACTTGGAGGTTCAGCAGGAAGACGGCGGCGATGGTAGTGGGAGCGTAGGAAGCGGAGAGCAACGCCCTAGCAAGAAGGCAAGGAAATCGGCCGGTGCAAAGGCTAAAGACAGCGACGGTGGCAGCGAAGGCGGCAGCGACTACGATGCCAGCGAGGGGGGTGATGCCGATGAGAGTAAGGGTAACGGTGACGATGGCGACGGCGGGAACAGCGGTGAAGGGGACGGGTCGGAAGGACCAGTTTTGTTCACGGTGGGCCAGCCGATGTCCAAGAAGATGAGGAAGATGGCGAAGGGTCGCCTGTCGAAGTGGGCCTTGAAGTTCACGGGAACGAGGTGCGTTTGTTCCAAACACCGGTGATAATTGTTTTTACACCCCATTAAGAGCGGAAAAATGTCTATCGCTCCGCGAAGTACGGTTCGTCCATGTAGCACCACTCGTTTGTCGTAGGAGTGCAAGCCGCTTCCTCGGCGTTCGTTTTCTCGATGTTCGCCAGCCCCCCCCCGTCCAAGGCCCGTTCCCTTCTACTTTTTCTGCCAAGACGATGTAAGCGCGCCCTTGACGAACCCCGACGAACACCCCAATCGTGTCATCGCTGGATGCAGGACCTACGCGCCCCCGGCCGTGCCGGTCATCGAGCCAATCAACGATGACTATCTCGCGAGCTTCGGGCGGTCCTACGCCGAAGCAAAGAGCCTCACTGCCCTGGACAAGAAGGATAAGACAGGTACGCAAGAAGACGACGACGACGACGACGACGACGACGGCGGCGACGGCGACGGCCATAGCCAAGCCGGCGACGAAAATGGCGGCGGTGGCGACAGCAGCAGCGGCGACAAGGAAGGTCCGTCCGACGACGAGAAGAACGGCACTGCCGAAAAGGATGCTGCGGACCGGGAAGCGGCCAAGACCGAGGGTTCGGGCTCGCCGACGAAGAAGAACAGTCTTAGCGGCGGACGGAAGAAGCACGGCGTGTTCGTCGTGAATCTGCTGTACACCTTGTGCGACGAGGAGAAGCTGGAAAGTCTCTTCAGCACATTCGGGCGAGTTACTGCGGTCGTGCTGACCAGACCCCCCGAAGGAAGAAGGTGAGAAGTGCGGAGCATGAGCGAATCAGTTTTCTTGCTACATCTTCCTCTTGTCCCCGCTCTCCCCGAGATTCCGATGAGCAGGAGCACCGTCAGTGGCATTCAAGATTGGAGCCATTTTTTATCAACGTTTCGAGTGCTCTGTTGTGCTTTTGCCATGTTTCCGGTTTCTGTTGGCCACCTTTCTCGGGTATAACCCTTGAATCCGAATAATTGCAGAAGGTCGCGGGAGTGATGACGGCGTCTATGTTGTTTATTACGCACACAAAGAAATGACTCCTGCGGGCATTCACCGCGGTTTCTACTAATAGTGCTGGTATTCTTGAACGCCAAGAATGAATAATAGTTGTGGGTATTTTTTTTTTTCTCCCATCATTGGACTCTGTCGTCTGCCCCTCTGGCCCCCATCCTCCACTTGTACTAGCTAGACGACCCAACCGGGGTCACATAGGAGGGGGGGTTGGACCCCCTCCTGCGGTTCCGTTTATCGCGAGAAGGGTACAGCAATCCCTTCCCTCGCGACTTATGAAGTCGATCAAGTTGACTTTTAATAACAACGAGCTTTGCAGCGCATCGCTTCCACCTTAGACCAGGATTAAAATCGTGAGAAAAAACTTACTCTGCCGGTCCTCGAACCCATGACCTGACCCTTAGCAGACTGCGAGGGTACCCACTAGACCACCGGGGCGACAGCTGCGGGTATGTACGGTCGAAGCAACACGTGTTGTCTCATTTCCTACGCTCCATATATGTTGGTTGCGCACATATGTAGTGATTGAGTCAGTTCGTTTTCTGGTGTCCTTTGTCCGACATGATGCCTGCGACATGTGATCTCCTGGGGCCGTATCCTTCTTAGCCTCTCACATTTGTGGTGCTTTCTCTGTATCTCATCGTCCGCCCCTCTCCACCACCTCCCTTCCTCCCACAACCACCCCCACAGGGTTTCCGGTAGCGCTAGCGTGTACTTCGACACGTCGGAGGAGGCGCAGAAGGCACTAGCCGCGGACGGCATGGACATTCGTGGACGCTGTGTCGGCATACGAGAGGTAGGCTCGTTGTATATTCTTCGACACGGACGGAGTATATCTCGCGACACACCGCAAGCGTGAGGGTGGTGAATTCAAGCCTTATCATCCCACTCCCCAATAGAACGGAGTATGTCTTGTGACAAACCGCAAGCGTCAGGGTAGTGAACACTGGCTTTTTCATCCTACCCCCGAATGCACGCGCAGTGTTGTCTCATTTCGTAACGGCAGCGCTGCTGGTGTACGGGGGGCCGACGTGCACCGGGACACTTGTTGTCAGGAAGCAAGGCCCGGGAAGCGTTGTTAGCCGTGACGACCGTAGTTATCACTGGGGGGCACATCTGATTGAAGTTTGCCCGCCCGTTCAAACGTGAATGTCACGACGGGGGCGGGTGGTTGAGTTCTTGCCTTTGGAAATTCAGCGGCCAGGGGTCATGCCTTCGTCCACCCAGCCTCCGACGTCATACTGCATTTATCGCCTCGGCTTGACTCCACTCTTGCACATCCCTTCGATCTCCAACACGATGAGTGCTCCGACCAACGCTGTGCAACCTGCATCTCATTTGATTTCTAAATTCCAGCACGGTAGATCATCATCGTGGGTGTCCGTCTTTTTTGTTTGTTGTTGGTGCCTTGTCGGCAGGGACCAGTTGTTGGCTGCTGCTGCCCCTTGTCGACATGCACGCAAGGCTTGTTTTGTGTCGGGGATCGATCACCTATGGATATCGCGCGGTTCATGTCCTCAAGTTCTTATATCCTGTTTCGTGGTCTCGTTGGCGGTGTATTGATCTTTTGTAGGTGAGACTGAGTGTCGACAAGAGGTACTTCGTCGAGCCTGAACAGGCGGCCAAGGCTACCAACAAAGCTAAGCCCCTGGAGGAAACGAGGTGCACCCTGTGTGGGGCGATTGGGCACGACGACAAGGTGCGCGCGTTCGCGTTGCTGTTGATTGTTTTGTTGTTGCCGGCGTTGCTGTTGTTGCTGCCGCGGCGGCGGTGTGTTGTTGTTATTGTTGTTGTCGTCGTCGTCTTTTCGTCAACGACCGTTCCGATCTCTGTTCAGTGACGCCTACCAGCCATTGCTTTTTATTCCGACTGGCATGAACGCCTTCCTTGATCACAGGCAAAAGTACCCGATAAGGGCACACTTTGGGATGTGTATTTTGTACTTGATCCATGTAGATTGACCCGAATTCCAGGTCGAAGCACGCTGACGAGCATCGTACAGGTGACATGAAAGCACTATATTGGCGTGCGATCATGTAGGAACGTTGGGACAGGTTTGTTTTTGAACGGCGCATGTCTGTGTTTCTTCCCCGTCTCTGACGGGTGTCTGTGTTCGTACGCAGTTTTGACGACGACTGTTTCCGCCAAAGAACAATACCACCCACACATACTTCTCCTGCCGCCCTGCGCCCTACACATGCACGCGGCGAGAACATTTATCGCTCACTGCTGCTGCTGCTGCTGCCGCCGCTGCCGTCTCCTCAGAACTGCCCGTTCAACGCGTGCTCTCGCTGCTGGGAGGAGGGGCACCTCGCGGACGCCTGTCCCTGTGTTGATGAGATGGAGAAGAGGCCCGAACCCTACTGCTCGGTCTGCGGCAAGGCTGGTCACTCGATCGATGTGGGTACATAGCGTCTGGGTTGGCGGACGCAAGTTGAAGTGCGATGATAGCGTTGCTATTGCTGGGTTTGCCGGAGGTGTGATGTCGGTGGTGTGGTGTTGTTTATCTCTGATCACCGCACCTTTTTTCTTGTATTCATGGCTTTGTCATTACTATCTTATCCACGACACACAAGTACAAAGAGACCAGAGTGGGTTGTTGTTGTTGTGGCTGGCTTCTGGTGGAAGGCCGATGTGTTTTCAATGATCAGGCGGTCGCGGTCGAAGCTTGTAAAGAATGTTACACCTTCTCCGGATCCCACCCGCTAATCCACAAATCCTTTCCGTGGGATGCACCGACCCTGCTGGCGTCAGGCTTGCGAGACGGCTTGTAAGGGCAAGTCCCAGCTCAAGTTCAGCTGCATCACCTGCAGAGACGATGGCCATACTCAGTGCGGAAAGGAGGCAACCTTGGTGTTTGGAAACGAGCGAGGCGACGCCATGACGTGCTGTAACTGCGGCCTGGAACGCCACGACAGGTGTTCCTGCCCTCATCAGACGGAGGCTGAGATCCTTCGGGGGTGCGGCTACAGGTTCAGCAGGTGCGTTTCGCTTTTGGTTGTCCGTCGCTGCAGGGCCAGCGCACGACCGAGAAGCGCGCTCGAGAGAGAGAGACTCACGCATGGTACTGCCACGGAGAGAGGCCTTTCGTGCACTTGCACTGCGTATCTTCGGAATCCTTTCCTTTGCCACATCCTCTTGCAAACGATTTATCCAATGTAAAAGACCAGCGATGTACTGCATTGGCATTGGCGTTGGCATGTGCAACGCTCTTGTGTGAACAAGGGCCTCGCCTTATCTGAAGAGATGAGTGTTCATCCTGTTTTGGTCCAGATGATCGCCGGCGGTGCTAGTCGGCTGCTTGCTACCAACGGGGAAGAAGTTGTCCTGACGGTGTTGAGGTTTCTTTGTCCCTCGCCAACATTTTGTTATACCGAGCGCATTTTGGTGTGTGCTTGTGGTCACACCAAACAGCTGGTTTGTATATATCCATAAACCCATGGTAGGTGTCTCCGGGAGCGCACAACCAGTGGCGAGGTACGCGCGATATGGCGTAGTTTCAGCTGTGATTGGGTCTTCATTTCTTTGAGGCATAATGTTTGCACTGCAAATGGACAGCATGCGTGAAATGAAATGCGGCAGTTCCTGCTGGTCATAGTACGGCATACGCATTGTGCTTGGGATTTGATTAATGTACCGCCGTACTTATCGACCCGCTTTGTTCATCCACTCCAAAGCTTGGCGGGCGGGGGCAACCGACGGAAGTCGACGGGAGGAGGGGGGAAGACCTACATGATGTGCTACAACTGCGGCAAGCAGGGGCACGGCAAATCGGAATGTCCGCTACCGAGGCAAACCCAAACCCCCGGTCGCTTCGGAACGTGAGCGTACTGTTTGTTTATGTGTTGGGATGGGTGGTGGTGGCGGTGTTGCGGTTGTACCGGAGGTGTTGGTGCTCTGGCGGTGGTTGTTATAGTTGGTAGTGGTGCTGGTGTTGGTTTGTGGCCGTGGAGGAGTACAAGGCTGGGTGAGTGATGGTGGCGTGGTTCTTTGTTGTCTCGCCTGGCCGATCTGTGTGTCGCGCCTGCAGGGCTAAGTTCATGAACCACTCCATAAATAGGGTCGAGCTTCCCTCCCGTTCCGAGTTTCCCTCCTGCTCCCACCCCCGCATACTGTTGTTCTCTACTATTTGCGGTATCGGCGCTTGTACTTTGTAATCACGCTCGCCGGCCGGGTTCTCGTCACTGGATCGTTGATGCTTGTTGCTGGCCTTGGACCCCACCACAACTGCTATCCTTGGTCGATATATCCACACCAGGTGCTACCTCCCGAACCTTTCGCTGCCGACGTCAGCTGATTTCTGACGTCGGCAGCAAAAGGTTCGGGAGGTAGCACCTGGTGTGGATGTATCGACCAAGGATAGCAGTTGTGACGGGGCCTAACAAGGCCAGCGACCGTGTGATGACGCATTACATGCGCCGAACTATAATATCGTCCATCATACTTCCCTGACTAGCATCAGCAACAACCAAAAACCACAACTGGAATTACGAATCCCGTTTCTCCGTGGCTCGTTTCAATTTGTCCGTCTTGGGACTGGATGGCATGCGTACTAGCAACAACTACAACCGCAACGACCAACCCCGTGTCCCTGCCGCGGACTGGAAACAAGAGTGGTCCGCAAGCAGCAACACCCTCAGCTTCAACAGCCTGAGGCAGAACCACGGGAGCGGCAAGTTCAGGAACGATCCAATGGGGTCCGACCAGCAGCATCAGCATCAGGCGCAGCAGCCAACGCACCTACCGAGCGCGTATCTCAACGACCTTGCGCAGCCGCCCAGCCCCTTGCAACCCACGAGGCGGGACGGTGGTGCTGCCGCTTTCAGCGGTCCCCCGTCGCCCCCTCATCACCACCGCAACCACAACAGCCATCTCAACGGGGGAGGTTACCATCAGCATCAGCAAGAGCGCGGCGGCACACACAACCGGTACCATCACCAGGTGGCTACTCCGACGGACTCGCAATCATCATTCCCCAGGTGGGGTGACGATGCCGCCGTTAGCAATGGCGGCTTCGGCAGCGGCACTCTTCACCGGGCGTACCACCCTGGAGGCAACTTTGGCAGCGACAGCAGCGGCGGCGGCGGGAGGAGGGTGGAGGATAGGCACAGGAGCAGCGGCCACCGTGGGGAGAGATACAGCAGCAGCAGGGGCGGAAGTGACAGGTACAGCGGGGGTGGGTCATCACGTGCTCAGAAAGGAGGTTACCACTCGTTCAGCAGAGACCAACACCAGCCGGCTCCTACCCCGTCACCATTTCACAGCCATCACAGTAGTGGTAGTCATCAACGTTCTCGCTACAGCAGCGGACAGCCACACTCCTCCGGTGGGCAGTCACACTCCGCCGGCCGACGTGCGGGCGGGACGAGGGACTCGCACGCCAATCCTAGAAGCTACGGTTACTAACTATCGCAGTGAACTTTGTGGCAGCCAGGAGAGTGGTAGTTGTGGACCTTTAGAGGGCCCTGATAATAGGTTTCATGGCCATTCAAGCACGTGAGATAGGCTCGCCCCATTTTCACCTGCTACTTGTTGATTGCCTGGAGGGAGCGCTGTATACCCACGGTCACGACCGTTGATGGGGTCCAACCCTCGCACGTGAAGGGCTTGATGCACGATGCCGCCTCAACAGTGTCGTTCCCTCCTCTGCGGTAGTTGTAGTAGATGGAATAGCCCGGCTGCCCCTTCCCGCGAAGAGACCCTCCATTCCCAACACGAAGAGAATAGCGAGGGAACATGATATGCCCTAGCGATCCTTTACGTGGTATGGTCGCCCGCAGGGTTCTTTTAACACCAGGGTCTTTTGTGTTTGTTGTGTTCTGTTTTCTTGTCTACATTTGTTTGGTTTAGATGGTCCACTGGCAAACCTTGTGACAAGGGGTGTGTGGTCTCAGTCCAAATCAACGAACTACGCTTGAGCGAAACGCTCGACGTTCCTTGTCGACGGGCAGAAGGAAGGAGGTGGGCATGCAGTGCAAGCCACGCAAGCCACAGGATTTCCGAGAGTTTCGTTGGCCCTACCCTCGCGGGGAAATCGTTGCCAAGGGCCTATGGTGACTGCTGTGGACATGCGAAATAGTCTGCTGGCAGGGCACGGTTGAATCTTCTGCCGGCCCGACAAATTTGGGAACTTAAACTTACGCCCTGCTAGAAAGAAAGAGGGTATTTTCGTGTACTTGTGGAAAATGATGTGCAAGCTGCCGAGAGGTCTACTGTAGCTGTCCGCGTTAAACCCGGGACGGCGCCGTGCTGACGTTCCACAGTGTACATGGCGGTACCCTCCTCGTGGTGACTGCGTCACGAATCTCTCTTGTTGTAATTATGTCGAGTGCGGCAGGGTGTTATGTGCAGTTCAGACGCAAATATCATGTGCACACGTGAGATGCAGTGGTAGCATAGTGCATGTTGTCGCAGGAGCGTCGAAATTTCTTTGAATGTTGTCTCATCTCGCACAGGCGGTTCAGCCTCCGCCCTCGAGATGTTTGGCGTCCTCAAGTCTCGCTTTGTTTCTTACCGGACCGAAGGACAAATACTCTCAAGCAAGCCTCTTTGGCAAATGGCGAACTTTTCATTGGTGTCCATTTATTTGCGAAGAGGCCGTAATCAGGGACGAATGAGCAAATGACGCACCGGATGTCCAAACGTACTGCGCAAGGATATACAACCAGTCTAAGGATGCATGCGTAATGTAGCCAGGACGATGTGCGTGTGGTTGTCTGACAAAAAGCCCGTATCGAGTGAGGGGCGGCAGATGGAAACGACCATGTTCACGTTTTCCCAGAAAACAATTTAGATGTTACGTGCTTCGGAATATTGGCAGGGGAGCCGCCACCGTAGATTCGTGTGATGTGAGGATCGGTACAAACACCGCGTTGATCACCATGAACGTACGCATTCTTTCTGTTCAATATTTTGTTCGAGTAGCCTAGCATATGAGATGCACGTACAGCAGTGCAAGATGATTTTGTTGTTGGCGGTCATGCGTGTTATCATGCCCAGTGGCACTCAATACCGACGCCCGGAGTGCCAGTGAACCTACTCGCTGCGCCCTCAAGAGATGCACCGTGTGTAGAGTGGTACCAGGACTTCTCACCCTACACAGGGCTTACTTGAAAGTGTGTTGAAGGGTACATGATGATGTCTGTCTGGGACGGACATCCTCAGGCATGGTCAGCTTCTTGCATCCAAATGGCTGGGTAGCGCCGGTTGGAACGAAACACACCCCTCGTGTTGTGTTGATCTATGCTGGATCGCCAGCCCAGAAGGTGTCTGGAACTAACGGGCCGGGGGTTGTAGCCTCGGTCTCAACTCAGTTTTTTTTTTGCGAGGCAGAGAGCTGGGGCCGTGGCAAAGGCAAGAATAATCGTTGTTGGTGTCGATGATGCTAACCTGTAACCTGGAAATGTCCTCCCAAGGTTTTCTGTAATTATGCTCATACTATGGCCCGCCGCCGAGTCTGAGTTCACAATTTCCGCGGGCGTATCAATGCCGAGCAACGTTAACGTCATCAAAGGTGTGCGGGCCCCCTAAAAGGACGCAGCAAATGAGCCCTTCGTTTCGTACGGGAAGCCCTTTTCATGCAGGAAAGGTTGGTATTCATTGCACGCAGATGTTCGTTGTTCGTGGCGGAGGACCTGCAAACAGATTATCAGTGTGTAACTTTGCACTTCGCATGCACCTCGCAGAAATATACCGCGTTATCCACCACAGCAGTATAGCCACGATGAACCACCGCTCGCTATGGTTGTATGCACCAGAAAGGCAAATTCATCCCTGGTAACTGGTACCCGCATAAACCCCCATAAAAACTAAAAACTATCACACCAATCCCTCAGGCTTGCCTGTAACAGAGGTGTAGTCGCGAACTATGTACAATGGACAGGTGTTGCCAACACTTGTGAATGAAGTGGAAGGGCGAATGTACCAGTTGCGAGGCCCAGATATTTCGTTTTTTTTAATGTTTTTGTTCGACACCGGATACGCATGAAGAAATACGCAGAAATGACGTGATACAGTGAAACACGAGCGAATGCGAAAAAACTCGAAAGGTGAGATTCGCTCTTTGGCGAGAAATCTACCCAGTCTCTCAGAGAGTACACACGTTTTGCGATCATCCATGCAAATCATTTTCAATCAATAGGTTGCCATGCAATTGCCCAGGTACGAGCCCAGGTACAAACACGTACCAATCACCGCCCTCTCTTCCCGTCTGCCGTAAAATAACAGCACTGATCATCTCAAGTCATGATTGATTTGGCTAGGCTATCAAATATGATCATTTTTGATCCGTTGAAGAGGGCCCCGTCTCCAAGACGGCCCTCGCCAAGTATCGTCTACGCAAACAAGGTACATTGCATCACATCACCATTCCGATACGTTCATCCCCAAAATGAAAAACAACACAGGGCGACGGCACAAGGGGCAGAGAGACATGGTGAACGTCACTGAGCCCGAAAACAATGGGTACTGAAGCAGGCAAACAGACGCCAACTCGTTCGTTTGTTCAATGCTTGCCCCAAATCACTCTCACGTAACAACAGAACGACGGAGAACACACCAAGTCCCGCCCCCGCAACAACTCTTCCATGGCATTGCACATGAGGGGTGTCGTACCACGGTACAAAGGCCGTGATCGTCTAAAGTCATGGCCCATCCGAAAGTGGCACCCCCGCCTTCGGACTAGCTCTAACATGAGCGGGGTGGTGAAATCAATGACTGCGATCGATTTCTCGAATGCCGAAATCGGGATTGATTACGACGAACCCTACCTACCTCTCGGTGCTGATCCCGACCTAGTACGGTCGTGGCAACGGTCCAAAGGGAGAGAGGCATGATACCTTACTTCACCTATGGCGCCTTCTCTCATCGATAGCCGCGCGAGAACGGGGAAGGGCGGGGAGGGGCAGGGCAGAGGGGCATGCGGCAATGCCCAGGATCGCATTGCGGACGGCCAGTGGTCGTCAACCCGTGCGCGGTGGCGCGAATGGCGAAGTTGTTGTCGCCGGTGACGAGGGTCACCTGCGGCAATACAATAAAACGAAGGGAGAACGCGGTTTCAGCATGCGTCCATGAGATGAATGAAAGACGGTTGGATGCGCGGGTCACGCATTCACGTCCCAAGCTGTTACGTGCAACGCGGAAACTGAGGTATTGCGTTTTTTGGTCGAATACGCGTTCAACTCTGTTTGGAGGTGTTTCAACAGCCATGGTTTTGGTGGAGGAGCTTGTTGCACACAAATTGACGTCAATGAAGAAGGTCACGCTCAATCGATAAATACCCTGCAGGTGCCTCTTGCAACACCAAGGACACCCATGAGCACGGTAGATATTCTTGAACAGTTGTTACGGTATTTTTTTTTTTGGGGGGGGGGGTTGTTTGCAGCAGCCAACGATACATGTGTTTTAGAAGGACACCGCTTGCATGGTGTGTGCGTGCGGGCCGCACCAGGTTGCGGATTATCTGTCGGCAGGGGGGATGGGAAAGCAGGGTGCTGTGTCCAATGCTAGAGTTTTTGTCGCCATGTGGTGCTCATTTGTTGGCGGTGTGTTCATACTTGAATCTCGGCAGCTCATCCTCGTCTCGCAAATCGCCATCATTCGTGCCCCAACATTGGAGCGACAGGCGCATATACGCCAAAGCTGGCGACATTGTTGCACTCGCCAGGTCAAAAACTTTTGGGCTGTGCTTGGAGTAGACACGAAACCAAAGCCACATCGGGTTTCAAGTCCTCCAGCTACACCACGGCGCTAGGCCTCACTAGGCCTAATCCCAACCCTAACCGACACGCACACCCCAAGCTAGGTTGATGTGCAGTGGGTAGGCCTAGGTCGCTGAACCGAGCTACTGGAGCGTGCAAGAATCTCGCAAGCTCTGGCGTATAAACGCCTCGTCAACATTGGACACAGCCCCCTGCTTTCCCATCCCCCTGCCGACAAATAAACCGCAACCTGGTGCTGCTCGCACGCACACACCAAGCAAGATGTGTCCTTCTGAACACATTTCTCGTTGCCGGCTGCGAACAACGCTCCCCCAAAAAACATCGGAACTACAGCGTTGGTCCACGATCTTGAAACGGGACGGTACACACCTTGCGCGGCGTGTCGATTCCTTGCGTGAAGAACATGCAGCAGTTGAGAATCGAGTCGTCGCCGCCGAGGCCCTCGGGCCTACTGTGATGTCCGTTGTCCCTGCAAAGGAGAAAATGCCACAAGCGTCAGCGATACAAAACCCCTCCCATCATCACGGCAACTGATCACACCAGCATGGTTGATGGAGAGCGGCGCACAGCGCATTATTTCATCGTGGACAACGGCGTCATCCCGTGTACAGACTGAGCATCAGATCTACAGGACCTTTGCGCCGAACCGTCTTTCAGATATATGAGAAATTCTAAATGTGCCCATGCTCGGGTTCCGGTTGTTCCTGTGGGTTTGATTTGTTTGGGGTGTCTATCGTGGAGGTGATTGCCGGCCTCTCTCCAGCGTGTTGAGAAATTGGTGGCACTCTTATGCAACCGCTGAAACGCACGGCTGTCAAACGAGAGAACTACGCACTGGTGGCTCACCGGAAAAGCTCCGTGTCGTCCTGGACGCGAACGACAGGGAACTCCCTTCCGCGCTCGAGAGGTTTTTCGACGAGGCCTCGGAAGTATCGGTTGGCCTTCTGCGCCTGAATGTGACATTACGACACCAGAGCACACGAAAATGTTTTCCTTGTTGACGAAAAGCTAACCCATTATTCAACATTACTTTGTATAACGATTTGAGTCCAAGGGGGAGTTTGTCGGTTGACTCTGAAAGTCGTAGACGAAGATCTTGCAGAAGCATGCATCAGCAATAATAACAATCCGATTGCAGGAGACGTCACCGTGAAGGCTTGTCCGCGACGAGCTGGGAGCGAACGCGGTCGCTCAGAAAGTCTCGATAACAACAGCAAAAACCTTCGCGACGACACCAACCTCCCCTTCGTCAGAAAACCACGAGAGAGATAGAACGAGACTCAGCCAACACCACAACAACTACCCACCACAGGCCGCAACACCCACTCACGCTGGAGCGAGTAGCCTCGTCTCGTCCGCGAGTCTTGAGCCTGTCCAGCTCGGTCAACACCGCCTTGGGTATGAGGACGGAGGTGTCCTTCTGCCTGCCCGCGATGTCGCTCACGCGGCACATGGTATCGGCGAGCCGGTGGATGAGCCAGTTCGTGTCGAACGCTACCAGCACAGGAGCCGTCGGCACCGCCAGAGAAACTGCAACACACATGCAAGAGTAATTGAGATAGGCGGGGAAGAGTTGCTCATCTGTTGTGTTCTCGATGCTGTATATTGTTTTGTAGTCGTGGTCGCCGTCGTTGTCGTTACAACTGCTGTGCTCTTCGGGCAATCACGCAACCGTCGCTTTGAAACCATGGCAATCCCAACCCACCTGTGTCCTTCTTCTTCTTGATCTCTTCGACCTTCGTCTCTAGCAGCTGGGATCGCTGGGTCGCTAGCTTGTCTCTGCTCTCCATTAGCTCCAATCTCGCCTGCAGACAATAACAGCAGTGTATTCCGCGAGAAATTTCACCGAGTAACCACTGAACAACGTAGGTAGCAGCTCAGCTTCAGTCTTTCACACGCGGTCGCGCAACGTGCGTTTTGCCAATATTCTTTGGCCTACCTTCGTCTACAGAACTGCGGTCGGATCCGCTGATCAGTAAGGAACTCTCATTATTACCCCTCCCGCTTCGTTGTTGTTGAGCTCAGTTTGAGGTTTCTACTCTTCCATCTCCCGTTCCAACAGCTCACATATTCTTCTCATCAGACTGAAGCGCTGTACTGGCAAATTCTAGAGGCAACGCAATGGACGTGGTAAACGCCGAACTTGACCTCAAGCACTCCAAACAGCAAAGCAAAACCATAAACGCCGACTCACGAGGAGTGCTGGGAGGGCCTCTATGGCATCCTTCTTTTCCTGGCAGGCGACCTTGATCCAGCGGCGGGTTGTGGGGTTGTAGGCCCAGCCGTCGGCGTAGCGGTCGTCCACCGTCTGGTACTTGGTGCCCTTGTACGGCTTGATCTCTCCTGTGGACGTCAAATGTGCGATGGCACCAAGGTTAGCCGAAGCCAAACGGATATACGAAAATCATACCTCACCTGATCTAGAAGAAAGGCGACAAATTCAATGGCAGCTGGCACAGCAGTAGTGGGAGGGTGTTTCTGCACGAAAAAGTCGGACAGCAACACACAAACCACAACAAATATGGATCTGTTCACGTAGCTTTGCTTGGTGCCCTTGTGTGAGGGGCTCAGTTCTTCCGGTATCCTCTTCATTTTTATACTACTTTGCTGACAAGTGAGCTGTTGTCTTCCTCTGTCAGAGCCAGAGACGAGACACTTCATGACCAAATAGCCACAATCGCAAACGTCAAACGTCAAGGAAACAGCGCCCTTCTGATCTCACCACGCCAAAACAAGAACGCCGAGTTGTCCCGCGCAACAAGGCTATCATCACCAGCGACGACGAATTGACCACCACGTCCACCCCTGCCACCGCAGCCAACGATCAGCAGCAGCACCCAGACCGGCCTCACAGCTCTTCCCACCAACGACAGCAGGTGCAGTAGCACAGGCATGAACGCTACAGTAGAACCCACACGAAGATGATCAAAATGCAAGCGTCAACCGCAGCAGTTGGTAAGCAAATACACCATGTTAGCACCAGCCAGGGATACCTGACGCGGTGGCCTCTTTGTACTCCTTCAGCGACAGGTATGCTTTCCCCTTTCCCGCGTCGTCGCCGTCGGCGACTTTCTCCTTGCCCTTGTCGGCGACGCTTCCCTTGCCCGCGTCTAGCTCGAGAGCCGTGAGCTGGCTAGCGAGCTGCTTAAGGACACGGAAAAGACGAACACAGATGCAGGTAGCATGGCAGTCACACGAGAACCGGGTAGCAGGCGGGGAAGATAATAAAGGCTCACTACTCGAGTTGCTTGACGTGATCCGTCTACACATCACGGTTTTCGTGGGCAGTCCTGCATGTTTTCCGAGCCTGAAGGTGTGGCAGCAGTTTTCACCTTATGATCTAATTTTTTTGGCGTCACGCTTCTTCAACGCGACTCCGATCTACGAGGTAGTACAGAACACCAATGGCTGCAAAAGAGCGCGGATGATTATAAAATCGATGCCAGCTCACGCGACCTTCGGCTGATTATCGATGCGGTCTATGAAATCGAATACCAAAAGCTAATTGCGACCGCCGCCCGGCAGAAGCTGCACTTACACCAGCAGCGAACACAATTCCTCGCACATCAAACGGGGCATGGCTACCTCGGCAATCTCGTCGTCTCGTTCCTGTTCCGATGACATCAACACCGTGGTAGTGTGAACACCTGCGCTCGCATCACGCCGTTTCTCCGCGCTAGGGGGAGGGCAGGACTTCCCGGCTCTCTGCTTCTGCCTGTCACGACTGCTCCTGCGTCGGTTGTTCTCTTCGTGTTCCCGGCTTCTTCCGTACCTCCCGCTTCCGTCGTTCGACCGACGGCCGGCGCCATCATCCCTCACCTGGCGGTGGAAACCATCCGTGTGGTCGCCACTGTCGCTCGCGTAACGCCGGCCTTTGTCCCTGTCGTTGCGGCCGTCGCGACTGCAGTTGCTACCGCGGGAAGGGGAGCGTCGATCGTCTTTCTCTGACGGCCGTTCGCCCGCACTAACGCGCCCGCCCGAGCCGTCGGAGCGATGGAAATGGTTTGCATCTCCCGACCGGCACTCGCGTGGGACCGTTCTCTCGGAGCTACGCTGAGTGTCCCCGTACATCCTCAAATCGCTCTTGCTGTAAAAGATTTTGGGTTGGGGTCTGGAAGTACCGCTGGTCTTCTTGGGGATGGTGTAGGAGTCTTGTCGAGAGCTGCTCCCGCTCTTTTTGGGGATCTTGTAGGCATCCTTGCTGCTGCTGCTGCTGCTGCTGCTGCTGCTGCTGCTGCTGCTGCTGCTGCTGCTGCTGCCGACGGCGCCAGCGCGTTGTGACTTTGCTTTTCGCGGATCGCGGGGTCTCGTTTCCACCGCGGGCGTGTAATGCCCCTCGACCGCGGGCGTGTAGTGTCCCTCGACGCCTTCCTTCCGAGAAGGTGCTGCGCGTTGTTGGCGCGCCGGCAGGCTTTTCTTCCTCCGACCGTCGGAACCGGCAGAGTTACCGCTGAAGCTCTCTCCTCCCGAGGATCCCGCCGCTTTGCTGCTGTTGGCGCCGCTCTCCAGGTGCTGTTGCTGCGGTGACGCCGGCGATGCTGCTTCCTGCGTTCCTGCTCGAATTGGCAACATGACCGATGCAGGGGGGCCTGGAGGGCCCTGCCAACACTGGGGAGGTGGCGGTGACGGTAGCCAGTGCTCATCGGCAGGTGGCTGTGTTGGTGGGGGAGGCGGTGATGTAGAGTGGTATTCCATACCCAGCTGACGCAGCGCCGGCGCTTCGAATTGTGGCTGCTGCTGCTGCTGCTGCTGCGGCGGCGGCGGAGGCGGCGGCGGCGGCGGTGGCGACATCGATTGACGCTGCAAAGCCTGCATGGCAGCCTCAGGGGAGGGGTAATCGGCAACGAGCTGAGGCAGTACGGGCGGGCCGGGTGGGGGCAAGGGAGCATCCACGGCGGCTTGGCCGTAAGCACCGTTGAGTGATGTTGGGGCAAACGCCTCCGCTCGGGGCAGCGGAGGGTACGGCGCCGGGGCAGGCGGGGTGGAGTAGTCGTAGCAAGGCTGTGCAAATTGCTGTGGGGGCAGCGGTAGACAGATAGCATCCAACGCTGCCGGGGCCGCCGGGGGAAGAGGTGGGTAGGGCGCAGGGCTGTTGGCGTTACCACTGCTGTAGTATTGCTGCTGAGGACACAGCACGACGGAGGAGCGGACCGGCAAATGCGACAAAGGCAGGAATTTCGGGGTCGAGGAAAGCGCTGTAGGATATTGATTGGATGGAATGGCAAAACGGCAGCATTGATGTGAGCGAGCAAAACCCTGCAAACAGGAACCGACGGCCACTTCAGGGTCTACACATGTGTAGGTGGCATCTGCTCCTACTGCTGTGGTAGCCTGCAGCACAACACTAGATACTCATTCTCACGTTGGTGCCTCAACAAACAGGAGGAGCACGCGTTGCTGTGCTCACATGTACAACATGCACAGATGCATCAGCTGTCCTTTTTCTCCCTACTGCTGTGCGGCATCGTGCAGCGTCCGCATCTACACACCAACCACGTTATCCCGTGAGACGGGTTCCCTGAATCTACTCACCTGAAACACGACCCAACAACTAAACAGGCAAACACACGCAGACCGACCGCACCTTCCTGGAGTCGCCGTTGGCGTTTTGGAGAGGAGCCGAACTCAGGTTTGTTGTATCAGCGAGAGCGCCACTGCTACAATGACCTTGGAAACCACATGATTCCTGAGCGGGATGCGCGGAATACATTTGGCCTGGTCGTCCAGACCTTTAGTAGAGGGAGGTGATCCCCAACGTTATTGACGGAGTGCAAAGGGCAAAGTGCAATCGGTTCCGGTCCGAACAGCCGAAAATGGCGCGAGTTGCAGCGGGGCATCTCTGGAAAGGACCCCGTAAGGGTAGGTAAAGACGAAAAGACGTCACGGAGCCTCTCCGAATCGAAGGAGATCTCGCCGCACAGGGCCCAGCAGTGGCAGGTGGCCTAAACTAGTCAACCCAGCCTCTTTTCTCTCTTGCCGCCTTGCATGTAGCCGATACTGATCGACTCCAGCAGTCTCACCCGCATGTTTTGGTTGATGATAACTACACAGCCTCATCGCAACTCCGTGAAATGGCCGCGGGCAAGCCGGCGGAGGAGGCAACGAACTCATATCTACGGCAATTTCTAAGCCGGGGAGAGGGGGATCGGCAGGAGCAGCCGAAGCGGTCCGACCGCAATAACGCTAACGGCGACGGCAATATCAGCAACGAGAGTAAGGGGTTCCATAACAGCAGGCGGGATGGCGGCAATCATTGCCGTCGCCAATCTGACGATGAAAGTGATGATGAGGCGCGCGAGCTCAGGTTACCAACGCCAAGATCCCCCCCTGAACGGCCTACATATCAACCGCCGTCACCCCAGACCGAACTCGATCCGGGGTGCGTGATAGGCAACGCCGCTCCCGACAGCGGAGACGGTCTAGAAAGAACAACGGTGCGTTATCCCAGCGCTGCTTCTTCGAAGCACAAAGATGGCGGCAGCGGCAGTGGTCAATGCACCCGAGCAGGGACCGGAGACGCTCCTCGGGGACAACGGAAGGACTTCATGGTCGACGGGGAAGATCCCTTGCGACTAAAGAGCGCCGATGCGGTAGGACGCAGAGGTAGCGCTACCTACAATGACACCAAGTACCAGCAGCGGCAAGAACACCCCAAAAGCCTGGCTTACTCGTCGCTTGACCTTCACCACCGCCATGGAACAGGGTTGTCAACGCGCTCCGCTGGCGGACAGCAGCAGCACCACCAGCACCGCAACGACCGAGGTGAGGGTGGTGGGCATGCCCTGACCGCCCAGGAATCAAGCACACTCTTCTGGCAGGAGGTTGATTCTCTGGACGCCAAAAGTAGTAGCGCGAACAACGACTGGGGGCAAAGGCTCGGCGGCGGTCATGGTCGTGGCGGCGACCGGAACATCGGCGATGAACCGATGGAAACACTGGGGGTCCACAACGGCCGGAGCCGGGGAGGAGGGCGGTCAGGGCGCGGAGGAAGAGGCAGTGGGGCAAGAGGACTACGAAAAAGCGGTGTTCGCCAGGCGGCTGCTTTTGCATCACGCGTAATCGTGGGCGGTAGTGTCAGGAAGAGACATCCTCTGGCGGATGTGACTTCGACAGAGTTGCCGCTCGGTCAAGTGCTGCGGACGGTGGGTGAGCTCGTTGGGGGTGGAGGGCTCAAAGTCTCTGCGGTGAGGTGATTAGGTTGTGCGTCCATTGCATTCTCGGTGAAACGTGGTCAAAAGTGTGACTTATTTCCGTTTAGGGGGTAGAACGCGTCGGTGTTTTTGCTATGCTGCCGTATTTGGTGCGATGCCTTGATTTTGCCTCTTGACGTTAACCGGCGGAAGGGTTTGCGCCGGTCCACCTTGGTGTAGCAGAGCAGGCGAAGTCAAACTTGCGAGTGGGCACAAAAACTTACTTCATACAATGTGCACTGACGGTAGGTGGGAAAACACATCACCTTGCTAAAGGGCGTGCCCTCCGGCGTGTCCTCCCGAGCGACCCACCTTTTCCTCAGCAACAACAGCCTGCGCTGGTTGCGAGGCGTTGAAGCCTTTTCGGGCGTGGTCTGCCTCTCCATCTCACACAACCTTGTGCGCCGGACGGAGGACCTCCACCCCCTCTCGCTTTTGGCTCACCTGGAGACGTTATCGCTGGAGGGCAACCCCGTGTGCGGTGCGGCCAACTACCGGGCGCATGTGGTCTCGCTTGCATCCGCGTGCCTCAAGACGCTGGACGGTAGAGAGGTCAGAGACATTAGTGCGTGTGCTTGGAGATACGCATGGCGATATCGCGACGTCGGTCGACTTTAACTTGGACAGCAGGCTTGTTTTGCTTTTGGTCCGGGGCCTTTGGTTCCCTTTATTTTACGTCGAGGTGCTCGATCGTCTAGAGATACGTACGAATAGTGAGTAAAGTGCGACGCGGAGTTCCTGGGTGTTTGTGTAGATTTTGGGTGCTACTCGTTTGTGTTTCTTCTTCGACGATTACCGGCTGTGGGTGTTCGCAACTCTGATGGCGAAACACAAGCGTGCTGGTGCCTTCTCTTTCCCCCCCCCAACCCGTTCCTCTCGTGATCATTCCAGCGCAACAATTACGTTTCTGCGCTGTACGATGTTCCAGGTCATTTCTGGGGAGACGTCCGATGCTCCAGCCATCGTCGCTGCCGAAAGGTCCGCGACAAGTAAAACGTCGAGAGAGTGCTGTCGTTGCCTGCTTCTTCACCACATGTCCCGGCTGCTGGAATGCCACGCCGAGCTCCGAGAGGCTTTGCTTGAGGCAGGCAGCGGTTGCAGCACCGGCGGTGGCGGTATCGGCGGCGATCAGCTACCTTGGAGGTTTCGCCGGGGAGGAAGGGTGTTCAACGGCCAGCGGGTGGCGTGGCGTCAACGTATGGCTGTAGCCATGCCCGTACACCAGGTATGTGTGTTTGTCACACCAATCTACTTTTGTGCGCAACATGTTCTTTGTTGTCGACGGTTGTGATACGGGTGGCATATGTGGCTTTTATTGAGGTTATCGCGGGTCTTTGCATTCTCATTGAGGGACGGGATTGCATGCAGGCAATTGTAATACTCAGAGAAGGTTTCTCCTGCTGCCACTCGTACCGCTCGTGTTGCCCTAGATGCTGGCGGTCCTTCAGGCAGATAGCTGGCCCGTTTTCGACCAATCAGAGCTGAAGGTGCTCGAGAGACAGACCCTCGACGAGGCTGCAGAAGTGCTCGGTGAGTACGGCGAACAAAAGCGTGCGTTGTGAAAAACCAGTCCCCGTTTCCGTCCAAGCCCCTATCTCAGTTGCTTGCTGGGTTTCATGGGAAGCACCGTGCCCTCCTTTCAATCGTCGTCTTGGCAAACAGTGGATTTTTCGTTTGATCAACTCCATCTTCCGAATTTGGGACGCCGGATATCTCAAAGCGTACTCTCACCGGCGTCGTTGACATTCCGACTGTGCGCGTGTGACATTTTCCGGTGGAAACGGCATGGCGACCAAGCCGATGTTGTGACTAGCCGGCGGGCTGCGGGCCAGCGCACGAACGAGCTTTTGGAAAGCGCGGTAGCGACGCTCAATTCACCTGGCACCCGCATGTGGGTGCAGGTGCTAGGAGAGGTGAGGAGGGTCGGTGGGGGTAGAGGAAATCAATTGATTGTCGAAACAGGTCCTTGCTCCATTGGGAGGTATGCTAGTGCTGGACCTGTCGCTCATACGTACCTTGCATTTCCCTTTTTGACCGACGAATATCTTGAGTTCTACCAGGCACGAAGGATTAAGTTGGGGCATTGATCAGCAGCCATACTTGATGAGCTGTGGAGAAACTGTTGCCTGTTGTGATAGGCTGACGTAGGATTGTCATGTTCCATGCTCTGTCCGCTTGCACGTAGAAAAACACCGCCGACTCGGTTTTTGTGGTAGGTCCAGCGGCGAACTGAAGGCAAAGTGAGCGACGTTGTGTTGCGCTGCGAGAGTGTCCGTCGGCGAGAGGCGGAACGCTTTCGCCACGTGTCCGGGCAGACGAACACCTTCTTGCACGACCTCGCGGCCGCCGTCGGCTGCAGCGACAATCAGTGGGCGGTGCCACCTTGTAAAGCAGCAGCAGTGCAGCGAACCACTGGCTCCAGCGCCGGTGGCGGCGCGCAGAGGAATAAGAGAAGTATAACTTCTTCTATGCCCCTGGGGGCGTCTAGACCATCGCCGTCGATACCGCTGCCACAGCCAGCGGATAAGCCCCGAGTGAGGATGCTCTCCAGCCCCGAACGAAGCCGGACGGTACGCACGACGCTTAGTCGCAACTGTCCCGTGGGCATCGCTGGAACCGTCCCCGTTGCAGACACTGCGCAGTCACCGGAGGCGATGGCGGAGAAATCGATCGGCCTTGATGTCCCTAACCGTGCAACAGAGAACGGAGGACGAGGTATGGCCGGGACTGGAAAACGGGACCCACCGTCTCCGGGACATACTCCTCGCGGGATTGAGGGGGAATCGGCCACCGGGGGCAAGAACGAGGTACGTTTCGGAGAGGAGCGGATACAGGCTATGGGCTCGGATGGGCCAAGTAGCGAATATGCCTGACCAGGAGGAACAAGGGCGTAATCCAACATCGACTGCATAGGTTTTGGCACTGGGCACTGTTCTCACAGTCAAATTCTTCATTTTTGTTTTTTGAGCCTGGAGTTCTTCACTCCTAGGTAGGTGGCGCGTACTGAACCGAACAAAACTCTCGATCTTGCCGCCCAGGCGCTTCGTAATCGCTCTGCTTCGCCAGCCCTGCTTGGTGCTCAGTCCGAGGCTGGAGCGGTAGGGCAAGGCACCACGGTGGCGGCGGTGGAGCGGGTGCCAGAGGTTGGAGCGGTCGGAAGGGGTCAGAACCCTAAATCTATAACAACGATGACCTCCGCGGCAAAGGTTTTACTAGCTAGGAGAGAGGACGGCGAGAGACTGGGCGGCCCGTTCTCCCCGTCCCCACCGCCGGTAGCTGCTTTACAAGACCCTTCTTCCAAAAAGTCAGCGGTGGCGGGGCGCAGAAATCCACCAATGGCGGAGGTTGATGAGCTTGTGGACAGTGGCGGAGACAACAAAGCAGAGACTCAATTGTCGAGATGCCGCGTCAGCAACAGGTTCGAGGGAAGACCAGACGGTGCTCCACAAATTGTGAACGGGTCAAACGCAAGAGGGAAGCTGATTGTTGGACAAAACAGCACTGGAGAAGGCCCGGAAAGCAATGAAAGGAGATCAGAATTCCGCAGAGTCTCTCCTGGTGGTGAGTCGGAGGAGCAGCCACCACAACCTGACTCTATGGCTTCTCCAGGCGTGTACACCCTCGCCACGGCAGCAGCCAACCTCGTTGATGGCCGTCCCGCGACTGGGCAGCAACAGCTCGGCGTCCGATGGGATGTTGGGACGATTCGGAGTGGTACGGCCGGGAACCCAGCCGAACAAGGCGAGGGTGGAGGTGCGGAGGGCGAGGTGCGCGCCGGAGGTCATCACGGGAGCACCTCCGAGGCGACAAGGCAGCTCCTGCGGGAAGCTCTGCGGGTGAAGCGTGTGCTTGCCGAGATGGACAAGGCCGACGCTACCGGATCCGCTATTGACAACGGCCTCGGAGACGAGGATCCCGAGAAATTCCTCGCTAGCGTCGGCCTGGTCGAGCTCAAGCCCTTGTCCGCGAGGCTCGTGGAAGCACTGGAACGCGCGCCTCGACCCCTTCGAGGAGATACCTCTGTTGCCGTGCCCGAGCCACGCACCACGCGGGGGCTACGAGACCAGGTGCGTACTACAGCGTGCTTGTGTTCGATTTGCGTGGTCCTGTCGTAACTGGGCTGAAGGACCCAAGCACGAAGTACACTTTGTGAGGTGCCACCCGTTGTCACCATGTACGTCAAATACCCTTCCCAGGACGTGCATTGACCATGTTTTGGGAGAATGTGGGACAAAAATTCCACACCTCTGTATTACGGCGTGTAAAAAAAAAACGGCCGGGGCGCTTGTCGGGCATCTCTATTCGATGCCGCCGGAGCCCGATCCATACCAACCGAAACGTGTACACTCATTTTCTGGGCCGTTTCTTTCGACCAGCGCGAGTTAAAGCAACAGACGTTTCGTGTTCCATCGATACCAATAGGTGGCCGCTCTGGGCAAAGAGGTGGTCCAGCGAACGGAAGCGTGCGCCGAGGCACGAAAACTGCACGCGGCGCTGCGGAGGCAGGTCGAGGTCACACGCCGAGCCCGCGCTAGAAACCTTGACAGGGTGGACGTGACCTGCCGCACGCTGATCGCCAAGGCTGGGGGCGAGGTGCAGGTGAATGTCAAGGTTTGAATACTCTTTATGTTGCAGATCATGCCCGCATCCCGTCACCGCTTCATCTTGTCTCTCGTTGTTTCCGAGGCGCACAATTCGAAATTCTCCGGTATTCCGTATGGCTGAATGCACGAATTGGAGTGGAGTTCCCGGTGCGACAGTCGTATTGCAAAACCGTGTATATATTTGGCGATGCCAGCGTCTACGAGGTTTGCTCGATATCGTTTTAGTCGTGAGGTTGTGGTGGTGGCGCGGGTGTTAATTAAGAGTATGACTGCGAGATCGAGGCAATATCTTCACACAACATGGTTGACACGAATCTGACTTGAAATTGGCACGGGAGGAGGGGGTTCGTCTTCATGCCAGGCCCCTGAGTGATTGAGGGGAAGACGTCGGTCCCTTCTTCGCGTTGGGGGTAGGGCGCGCTTTCTTCTTGGACCAAGGTCGAACAAAGCTTCCGTTTAGGGCCCCCCGTGGATGGGAGGAAGACCATGTTTGCTGCTGTAGACAATGTTTGTTCGCCACGGCAGCGCCTTTAGGGGGAAAGGACAAGATGTGCCTTGGCTCGGGTCTCACACAATGTCTCGAAGTCGAACCTGTATGGCCAATACCTTGTCCAGGCGCGTAGCAATGAAGACAGGATCAGGAACGTGCTTGCCGCTGATACGGTGTGATAGTTCCCTGTGCGGTGTTCGTCCATTGTCCTCACTTCTTTGCAGGTTCTCCACGAGTCCAGGCGCGTCGCGCACGAGGCAGAACGCTATCACGCGACCCTCGCCCGAATCCAGGTGTGCTAAGTGCCAAATGAGTTGCAAAGTGTTTCAAAAGAACGTTTGAACGCGATTGAATGCGAACAGAATCACTGACTTGCTGCTAAACCCGACGATGCACCTCATACTAGAGCACGTAGAGAAGGTGCCGAGAAGCAATGAGGCGGCGTACCCTGCCAGGTACCATGCACGGAAGGATTCTTATACTAGATGGTAGTATTGTTGGAAACGTTGAGATTTTCCGTCAAAGGGTGCATCAGTTGGTAAGACTGACAGAAAAAAACCAACGAGATGGCGCTATACGTAGGTATTTTTAAGTTCTTGACAGCGCTGTTTTGGAACGTACCCGTTTCCGGCCACCCTGTCCCCGTTGTTGTGTCTCTAGGAGCAAGTGGAGGCGACCACTGGCGAAACTCGCAAGATTGTCTCCACCAGCGAAGCCATTGCATGGGAACTCCGTGCAGAGATGGAGGGGCGCGGTGGGGAGCTCTCATGCCGCAAACGCGATGCCGAAGAGGGGCTGGCGGTGAGGCAGCTATGTACCATGTGTGAAGTCCTTTGATGATCCCACTAGCATTATTTTGATATTTAGCTCGATGCATCTCGCGGGCATCGATTCATAGTCCTGCAAGAGTAAGGGAGTTCTGGAAGATGGGAGGCGTTTCATGTTGTTGATTGGGGGTAAATCGTACTAGTTGTGTTGCAGTTGATCGCTCACTCTTCTTTCGAGCTCAGGTGTCATCACATAGTAGTGATTCCGCGGGGTTGATCGTGTTTTCTTGTCGTAGTGATATGTATTGGGCGCTTGGCTGAGCAAGCTACACACAGTAGTTAATTGCGTAGATTTCCTGTCGCTTGGGGTAAGTTTTTCGCAAAGCGATTTCCAACGAGTTTTTCATAGGCCCTGGTCCTTCGGTTGTTTTCAATCTGTGGCCGTTCTCAAGGAAGTAGCGTGCTCGTTCTTCCTTTCCAATACCAGGTGTTGTCGTTTCGATGCTAGCGCCCTTGTCCCCGAACGTATCTTGAAGCGAATGATGGCGATCGGCCTTATCGTCCCGCACGAACAACTCCCGAACAACAAAGCAAAACCAAATTCCACCCTTACCACCCATCAACCAACCCTCCTTCCCCAATCCCAAGGTTGAACATCCGTATCATTTACACTATGTACTTTACCAAGACGCACCGATACCTGACACCCCTAATCCTAACTCAACCGAACAAGGATTGGGAGAGAGCGGCACAAAACGACCCACACTTGCGAGCCCGCCGCCGGGCCTACGACTGCGAACTTCTAGTTCTTCGCCACCGGATGGGTTGCGGCGGCGCCAACAACATCAGCCTCGCCTCCGCATTCCACCACCTCCGCACCCGCACAGCGCAGCAGCGGCGAGCTCGAGAGTGGTTTGAAAGGTCTACTGCCCGCTGCAACGCACTCCTTGTTCGCTCCGCTTTTTCCGCCCTCGCTAGAGGAAGTCGGTCCAGGGCAGCGACGGCGGCGGTGGCCGCCGCTCGCTGTCGGAGGGGCCTAGCCGCTTGGAAACGGGCGGCCACGTTAGCCCGGAAGATCCAGACGTTGTGCTGGATGAGGGAGCGGGCGGCTGCCGTGAAGACCTTACGGGGATGGCGGCAACGGTGTGTGAAGGCGGTGTATTTGGAAGGCGGCGGCGTCGGGGGTGATGATGGCAGGTGGGCGACTGGGCGAGAAGAGAGGGAGGATTCAGAGTGGAGGCTAGAGTTGTTTCGGGAACGCAGGGCCAAGAGGATTGTACTTCAGGCATGGCGGGCTGCGGCGCAGACGTCGGCGGTGATAGCGGTGATGCTCGGGGAGACGAGATGTGGCTGGGGGCCCGGGGTGGGGCGACGTGGCTGTGCGCCCATTCAAGATGAGGTTGCTGCGTATTCAGGGTGGGGCGCCAGGCTTCGCACTGCCGAGGTAGGGAGGAAACTGAAGCTTGCTTCCTATGTGTGTGAGACAGTTTGGTCAGTATGAGCAAGGTCGGGCGGTCGCACGACGCGAGCTCTTTGAGGACCTTGCGGTCTCAATGTCAGCACTTGTGCTGTGGAGAAGTGGCAATATTACGTTTTCGTCCTCCGTGGGTGTGTCATCTAGGCTTGGCATTATGGAACACTTCACATCCGGTACAACTATTACGAAACAACTAATCTAATAGTTGGGTAAGGGCTCAACTACGGGTAGTGGAACGGAATCAACCAGTTGCACAAGATTCTGAGCCAGTACAGTTGTTGATTGGAATCAGCTAGTCACCCGAGATTCTGAGCCAATTGTTGATTAGAATCAACCAATCGCACAAGATTTGAGCCGGTAGTTGATTGGAATCAACTGGTTGCACAAGATTCTGAGCCAGCAGCTGTACAGGGTGTGGAGCATTTGAATGAATGAAATAGCATTCACAAAGCCGAAAAACGAGTCCAAAGCACTTGTTTTTTGAGGATTGGGTACTCCATGCTTACTTTTACAATCGACACCCAACCCGGTTCACTATCGCTTCTTCGCTCGCGCAATGGCCTCTGCTGGATGCACTGCATGACGTACCCTTCGCCCAATGCAACGGAATCAACGCAAGCAGGCCCTCGGGCGTCGGCATCGGTTTGAGACTCAAATCGGTTCAGCCTTCCGTTGGTGGCGGCGACATCGGCAGTGCAATGTGCTGGCCAGAACGGCAGGTCAACGGCGAGCGATCCGGCGCTGGAGGCACCGGGTGAACGATATTCGTTCGTCACACGAGGCTACTGCTGAGGCTCGGGGCAGGTTAGTAGGAGAGCTCCAGATTGTTCGAGTATTGAGATTACTGCAACACGCGTGTCAGCGAAAAGACGGAAGGCCGTGTTGGGGTGTCAATTGCTTCCTAAGATGGGTTGTGCAAGGTCTAGACACAGGGGCGGGCTGGGCCAACTTCACAGCAAGCAACAGAAATGTACGCGGCCTCCTCTCCCCTTCTCTCCTCGTAGGAGCAGCCTCGACGTCAGGTGCAAGACCTTGGACTTGAAGCATTGTATACACTAGAGCCAGCTTCCCTGTTATGGTCTGAATCCATTCGGAGGCTCATTTTCGTACGGATTGGATTGGATGAGGCCTCCTGCGCCGGGCAGGAGTCCTCGCCTGGTATGTCACCCCACGGTGGAAAGGGAACCCCTGGTGTGTCGTCGCCCAGCGCAGAATTGGTACCCGATATACAAACCCTCAGTCGGGTGGGTGGGATGGTCAATAATTTCGTGATCAAAGCTGCTCACTGGGTTTTGGAGCGAAGATACCCTCATTGCGATTGCTAACCCCAAGACATCCGATTGGATCTTTGGATCTATTAATTGTTCGGTATTGTATTTATCCAGAAGTGTTTTTCGGTGGTGTCAAGTATGCTGCGTTGAGAGTCGGACCTTTTAGCGTTTCTAGCATCACGCGCAGAATAAGACGATCCAACACTGGTACCCGCTGTGCGCTGTATGTGGTCGGATGAAACGGCTAACAGTTCACAACAAGATACGCCTGCGATAGTTTTGTTTGACACCTTGGTTAAGATCCGGGACGCCGTTGAGAGAGGCATCACTTGCTCACTCAAGAAGGTAGACATAACCCACGCCCTGTTCACCGCTCCAAACTTCGGAACCCTGCCCTTGCCTCGGTATTACCTTCATCAACAAACCCCAACATCATAGCTATGTGCTTTCTCTTGGGCGGCGGGTGCTGGCCGCTTGGTCCTCCGCCGCGGCTACACGTGCCCGTCGACGCTCCGGCGCGGCCTCGCTGGCGTCAGCACTATCGTTCAGCACAAAGCGGAGAAGCTTCAGACAGTGGGCCTTCCAGGCCGCCGCGGCCGCTCGCGAAGCCGACAACACAGTAGTTGCTTTGGGGCACTATGGCGACCGATGTCTCCGCGGTCACCTGCGGGCGTGGTCGGCTTTCGCGAGAAAGAGGTGCGCGTTGCGGCGATGCGTCAGGCTCCTACTGCGCGGCCGGCGTGTGTGCTTGACGGCGGCGGGGCTGCGTCTCTGGCGGCGACAAACCGCGAAGGCTAGGGACGCAAACCTTCGGGAGTGTAGAATCATGGTGAGGGTGTATTATGGCGTGAGAGGTTGAGGTCGGAGCATGCTCATACTCCAGTTCTCACTGACCATTAGGGAGGTCGCCCTAGTTGCCTTTTTTCTCAGGTTGCCGGCAGCGGTGCCAGACGTGTGCTGTAGAAGACCAGGATATTTAGTAGCTTACCCCGACTTCAGTCTTTTCTTGGGTGCCTTACGTGTTTTGAAGCCAACGCTATTGCAGGTTTTGAGCGCGCACTCACCTTCCCGACTTTGCCTTTCGCTGGAGGGCTGAATCCTCCCTGTTGGCATGGGTGTGGGGGTTGTGTGCCCGTATGTCAAATATTTCGCTGTTTCTGTTTTGTAGCTCCTTGCGAAGAACGTCTCACGGCCATCGTCATTGATCAGGCATGAACAATTTTATGCACGTGACGTAGTATACGATACCCTTGTTTTCACCCCTGCCAATATTCCCTGCCCCATCTCTGTCGCCCATCGCTTGTTGTCCTTGGGCTTCTTTTGAAGGCTTGGACGGCGGCATTTGCCCGACGGCGCCGATTCGCTGCCCTCTCCGTATGCTTTTCTGCGTGGACGTCCACCCCCCGCCGCGTGGCGGCAATCCACTCCCTCACGAGACGGGCCGCAGCACGACGGCGGCGCCTCGCCCTCGCAGTGGGCTTTCGCGCGTTCAGTCTTTCAGGCCGCCGAGCAGCAACCGCTGCATTAGCGGCCACTGCGGAAAGAAGCCACAACAGGCGTGGTGAAGACATGACTAGGTACAACAATGGCCATGGGCCGAGAAGAGACATGGGCTTTGTTGTTGAGGAGGCTACTGATCCCATACAAACGGCTATCGCCGCGAAGGTTGCGCTGGAGGGGGAGGTGAGCTTACTCCGGGCAGGCCTAGCGCAGGAAAAAGCCCGTGTTCTAGAGCGGCACGCAGTGGTGTGCGAGATGGCCAAGGAGGTCGCCCGCTCCGAACGGGAGCGAGCGCGGTACGCCAAGGTCCTTCGTCAACAGGTGAAGGAGCAGCAACAGAAGCCGCCGCCGCCGCGCTCTTCCCCGCCAAACATGACCACGGGCGCCGAAGGGGAAGATCGGGCCTTGGGTAAACCCTCGTTGCCGTGGCATGATGGGTTTATGACTGTGCAGCGTGAAGGTGAGGAGAGTGGAGATGGGGAAGTTGCCGCAGCAGTCGTCGGAGAACCCTATCGTTCCCGCGGGAGTGGGAAGATGGGCTCGATGAAGCTCACAGAAAAGGAGAGCTTGCTGATCATGAAGCTTCAAGCGGAGACTCGGGAAATGCGCCGAAGAGAGGCAGTGGCGGCGAAGCAGGAGGAACGGCTGAAATTGGAGGCAGCGCGGAAAGCAGCCGCGACCGCAGCGTCGCTCGAAAGTGCTTTGGCGGAGCAGAACCGGCTAAAGGCGCAGGCAGAGCAGCGCGAGGTGCACTAGCTTGATAACTACCTGGGTACAATATTTTTGCAAGTAGCATGGGTGGTCTCCACGTACGCGATTCCAATCGGTGGGGCGTCCATCATCTCGGTACCGCTTGTGTGGTTTGTCTAGCTCAGCGTGGGATGTTGCAAGAGTACATACCGCTTCGAATTTTTCGTCCCCGACCGCGCGCGGTCCCTTACCGCAAACGAAGGTCAATTTACGTGTAACATCTTTCTTCACCCGTTTACTCCGCACGGTCTTCGCGGATGCGCCCCCGTTCTTCAAGGTTCTCATCGCCCAGCTGGACTCGGAAGCTCAGCAGGCGGCCGCGCAAGCTGCTGCCCTCTCGGACCGGCTCGCGGGAGCCGAGCAAGACCTTGGCTTCGAGGCCACCCGCAACACACAGGAGCTGCGCGAGAGGAACGAGGGCAATGCCCGCCTTCGAGCAGCGGCTACCGCCGCCGAGGAACGCATCGCTATCGCCGAAAGTACCCTGCGGCAAAAAAGGCTGGAGATCGAGGAGTTACGATCGAAATGCGCAAAGGCTGGCCTGGGTATCGGTGGCCGGGGTAAAGGGGGCCGCCAGAGCCGCGGCGGTAGGGCGAGCGATACAGCGGGGTTGGAGTTTCGAATTTTTGCTGCTTCGGCGGACGCTCGGTCTGCCCTTGACAGGTGCACCGTCGCTGCCGACGAGAGGCGCACTGCTGCGGGGTCTGTGCTTGCAGAAGCCTTACGCGTGGCCGGATCGGAGGCTGATACAATCAAGTCCAACGAGGAAGATTTTGACTGTACTAGTCGCGATGAAGGTAATCATTTCTGTGCGACCTGGGGATGTGTGTCGAGTCAGGCAAGATCCCTGTTTTTGGCAGGTGTTGAAAGGTGTCCCGGTGAGTTTTCACATTTGCCGTTGGCTCTTGTGGTACATATGTGGTATCAGCGCCATAGCCAGTAGCATCGTTGAGAACATGAAAGGTTATACCTTGGATTATGTTGCGGGTATGCACTATTTTATTATTCAGCCACTCGGTGAACTTCTGAGTAAATTGCGCGCACGGGTAACGCCGCTTGCCAGGCATGCTGGTGTATGCCTACCCAAAAGATTACCGTATTTACGTGGCATGGTCGTTATATTCCGAGCAAAGTCATGCGTCATACACACCTACACACCCTTTGTGTTACTGTAGCCGTGGAAGCTTACCCTTGCTTTCAATGTCAACATCGGTGCAGGAGGAGTGGCGGCGGCCCGACGGATTGCGGCAGAGAGCGTGGCCGACGAACGACGTGAAGTGGCGGACCTTGCGTTGCGGGAGGCGGAGGCCAAGCTACGCCACTCCGCCGACCTCAGCCTGCGCGCCAGCCTCGACCACCGACCATTAGCAAACCCAAGGCCTTCGTTCGAGGAAGGCGCAACTACAACCCCCAGTTCCAAGGTCAATAGCCCTGTGCCTGGGTCTCGTGATCCCGCTCCTGACAGACCCGAAAACCGAAAGGGAAACCCCAATCTCCACGGGAACTTCAGAGAGGAGGCCGCCACTGAGCAAGAGCACCCGATTGAAGAAAAACGTGCATCTCAGCCCGCGCGTAACAAGGACGGTGAGCTAGCTAGGACTGGCGAAACGACCCTCTTCAATTCCTCATCTTGTCCTTCCTCCTCCAGTTTGCCGAGCGGGGGGCACCAAAGCAACAACGAGAGCGGCAGCCACGCCGAGGGCATTGGTGAAGCAGGCAGGTGTCCTGATCCGGGTGTACGAAACGAACATAGCTTGAAGACTGACGCCGATGGTAGGCAACATCAGCAGCAGGAACCAGCCCCGGACGGTTTGCGAGAGTTGAAGCGGGAGATTTTCGACCTCGAAGGGAAGATTTTGGGACGCCTTGGTGGTAGCGGTGGTGGCCATGATGACAGACCGACCGAGAGGTATCCTTCCGGAAATCGCGAAAGAAATGGAAATGTTGTCGTGGCAAACTTCCTGGAGAACTCAACCCGCGGCATGACAACCCGGCATGGACAGCGCCAGCAGCAGCAGCAGCAGCAGCAGCAGCGGCCCCCATCAAGTCGAAAAGAAGCCTCGCCCACTACGATGGTCCGTCGAAGCGTAAGCTCGAGGCCGTCATTTTCGACATCTATGAGGGCAACACGTCGCGGGCGGGAAGCAAAAGTGTCGCCTGCGGGGCGCACAAGGACTGGCCGCGATCCGCACGGCGTGGAACGCACAAGGCGTCCCCAAAAGACGGCAAGATCGATCGAAGCAACCAGCTCTTGCCCAGACTGTTCGCCTTAGCTGGGATAGGGTGTCCGCCGTCGCTTCGGCGGAAACATCAGCGTCTGGCCGCAGCGGGGGAAGTAGACGAGGCGATTTGAGGCGGACCGGAAGCCGTAATAACAGTTTTGGCACGCGGTGACCGACTTGTTGGTGAATAGTTCCGGTTCTCCGGTTCCCTCTCCTCTCCTCTACGATTGTTGTTGTTGTTGTTGTTGCTGCTGCTGCTGCTGCTGCTTCCACGGACCCGGTACACTGAATTGTCAAACTGGAGCAGTTTAGAGCAGAGTCGAGACGGGCAGGAGAAAGGAACATGAGGCAGCGACGACGATCGACACCGGCCCGTTTGAGAAACCAAAGAAACGAACGAAAATACCACAACCGAAGAACAAGCGAGATGTCAGAACGGGACAACAAGCAGAAAATGGTATAACAAAAGGACGTACCAACCGGCAACAAGCCGATCGTCGTCATTCGCACGGGAAAATGTGTGAGCGTGATACCTGTCGACGCAAGTCGACGACGCCAAATAGATGTGGTGAGGTTCCCACGCGTAGCCATGCCTGGAGGGTCGACCCTCTGATGAAAACTGATCCCTTGTTCATAGTCTCTTGAAACACTGTGCTGATGTTCCCTCGATCTCTTTGGTACAATACGGGGGCAGAAACACCACACCTTCCTGGGGCATCCCCACCGTATGTGCTTACTGCCTACAATCGGGGCTTGATGTGAGAAGTTTCCGAAAGTGTCACACAGCAGGTCTGTAAGTGGTACGTAATAAGTATCTCCTCAACTACTATTCTCCTGAATGCATGCATACATACACTCCACGTGCGTCTGTCTGCTAATGTGTCGGCAAAGGTAACCGAAAAATAATAATACCCATATACGTTTGTTTGTGTGATGCCAGGTATTCATTGTAGCTGGGGTGCCCTCAGTGCCCTTGCGCCCCCACCCTGCCCCCCCCCCTCGCCCCCCCCCAATAAAGTGACAAGTAGGGATTTCCAGCAGTGTAACCCGTGGTGTGATCCCTACCGGCTATGCGCCCAAGACCGAGACATCACAATCAGTACGTCAACTCTCCCACAGACAGCACAGGCAACAACAACATGACCAGCGCTTTCTTCTGCATCCCGATCGGTGTTGTTGTCCGGTTGTCCTGTATCCACCGCGAATGGTGGCAGGTAGGTCTCCGAGAGGCCGGACGGGTGGGCATCGTATCTCTGAGTATACCCTGCCTGCGTACACATATCTCCTCGAAAGATATGATACTGACTGATACCAGATGAATGGACTTCAGAGACGCAGCAAGCGGTAGATATCGCTTTCAAGAGTAGAGTTTTCAGGCGCGCGGACTCCCTGCGCTTGTGCATGTGCATCACCAGGTCGGGGAAAGAGAGTATTGCGCCCAGAGACTGAAGATAGTTGAGGTTATGTATTGCGCAATTCCTCATACTATCATGGAGCTTGCGTCATTATGACAATGCTGTTAGGCTGTTCGATTGCCCGGTTGATCAATCGATGTCTACGATTCTCGGGTGACATCTTCCTAAGATCCGGAAATCCTGACCTTTACCAGCGATGGTACGCATACTCCGCAGAAATCACTATTCTATCTACGTACATAGTGCAGGAATGCACGATATATGAATGCGATGGTGTACTATCGTGTGTCACCCCACCACTGACATACTGAGGGGGCGTATCCCTCAGTGTGGTTTAACCAGGATTCCGTGTGCAAGGCGTGCCGAGGTTTGTGGGAAAGGAAATTTATGAAGACGAGCTAAAAAAAAATGCGCCAAACGAAAACGTAGGAACCGGCTAAGGTGCGTTGCTTTGCTCCAATAGTCTCTATGAGTCCTATGACGATCCAGTCTCGGGGGAGCAGTGTGTACTAGTTGTTCTATTTGGCCCTGGGGGCTTTCGGTCGACCTGTCCTTCTCTGTTTTCTCGGGGCGCCAGGCTGTATGTTGGTGTCACTCAATATCTAGTTCGTCGCATGAGATTCGAAACCGTTTCGACCTCTGTGGTACATGTATATATTACTCAATACCGTAGATACCGGTGACACCAACGTCTTCCGTGGCGACAGGCAACTACCTGGTGAGGGTCAAGGATACACAGTAAACACTATCCTAACATAAAGAAAGGGCCCAGAGAAATCCAGATTTCAATAAACGCGAGTTGTCGTGCTCGGCAGAAGAATGTGGTTGCGAAGAAATGAAAGACAAATGTAGATAAATTTTACTTGAAGTGCACCCTTCGTACTGCATCCTTGTACATGATAAACTGGTGTTACAGAGTAGTCTTTTTCTTTACTTCTACATGATAAACTGGTGTTACAGAGTAGTCTTTTCGTGTTTCGTGGGTTTACATCTAGCCTTTGGCCACGCGCTGTTTTTGCCTTTGGGTAATAGGGACAAGATGAGGTACTGGGCATGGAAGAAGTTTTAACAGCAGTGTTCAGTATAGAAACAAGTGGTGGTAACGCTCTCACCGGTTTCCCGAGCACGTACTCCTGGCGCGGGCTCGGCATCACTGACAGACCCATCTTATTTAGTAGAGTTTGATCTGCTGGTGCCTTGTGACGCACACGCATTTATTGTACGTATCAACTACATGGGCTCAGTCAGAGTATCCTCTGTGCTGAACGCGGGGGTGCTACACATAAACATGTTTTGGCGTGCAGTTTTTGCCGGGGGCACTCACCTCTTCTTCACTTTGAAAATATACAACAACATATCTCCCCGGGGCGAAAAGTCCCCCGGGGCGATAGTCTCCTGTAGTTCTGTTTGATCCACCAGACAAGTGCTGATAACTTTTGCCGCGGACCTCTCGTGTCGGAACCCATGATATTGGGCCTAGTCTATGTAAACAACATCCACGAAAAACAGCACAGCATAACACGGGCAACTTGGTGACCAAATTTGTTCGTTGGTTAATTTCGGGGTTTTGTATTTTGCCATCGTCTCTCTTGCCTCCGCCCATCAATGCGCTTATTCCGAACTCCGGTCTACGTAATCACTGGGCGTAACAAGAGGTTCGCTTGATGCTTCGAGAGTCTGGCGGTACTGCACGACAGTCTGACGTTGCGAATACCTGCCGTGTGCTTCTCCGCAGGCGTACCGGGGAGTTGGTTACCGAATCTACAAACGTTTGGTGGATATAAATGTTCTCAAAGATACCATGTAGAGAAGCAAGCCACGACACAAATTCCGAACAGCAGGCTGACACACCGACGGCAGGGACAGGCTTTGTAGAACGCGTGCGTTAGAATTTGATGGGATTGCCGGGGGAGCGGCTACACAAAAGTATCAAGCGAAAAGGGGACCCTGTGGGGGCGTATATAGTCCTCAAGAAGCGTTTGCCATTACAGAAAGGCGACACGGGCTCATTTCGAAAACCTTGTGCCGTCGGATCGGTGGGGGTTCTTCGCATGCATGTTTGTGGCATTTTCACGTCGAACGAAGAACAAGTCTTCACTTCTGCCAAGCCCTTACATGTTGCCAATGCATTCATGCGCCAACACCCACTTGGAATAGGCGGTAACCCTGGCCCAACTATCAAATTTCTTCTCGACAGGGCCTACTCCGGGGCCAACGTCTTCGCCGACCGACCGCCTCGCCTACACCAGGTGAAGAACGGAGAGTTCTATATGAGTTGTGCACGCAGGTACCGCGGCCTATACGCCAAACCTGGGGCCCTCAGCACAGCATTCTCTAGACGAGTGTGCCATGAGAGACGCGCGACCGGTGCTTGTTTATTTAGAGCATTGTGCCATCCAATAGTCGGAGTCGTTCGTGTGCGTGATTTGGGCCGATGCACGTCGAAACCGGGTGAACAATATGGCGCGGATGGTTGCGGATCGCCTCATGGGTTCACCATCGCGAATAGTATTCAATCTTCGCCCTCTCCCGTACACGTCTCGCACCAGGGCCTACTCCGGGGCCAACATCATCGCCGACGGCGGCCTTGCCCACACCAGGTGATGAGCGAGCTATTGCGTTGTGGTATGCTGGCGTGTATCTCGTCCTACGCGGGAAGCGTGAAGACATCCGTACGGAGTGGTCGAGAAGGGTGTGCCATGAAGGCAAGGCAATCCGTGCTCATATTTATGGCATTGTGCCGTCGTACAGTTGGAGTTGTTCGTGTGCACACTTGTGTCGGATGCACGTCGAAACGTGGCTAACAGCAACCTATTGTAGGTTTTCGATGTATTACCCCCCCACACTAACCGGAAGACACTGCAACCTCGGCCCGCTCCCCCGCAATACTCGCGAAAGGGTCTACTCCGGGATCAACGCCTTCACCGACGACGGCCTCGCCTACACCAGGTGAAGAGCGCAGAATTATGGTTTTGATTATTCTCGCGTGTATCGCATCCCACGTATTTACGGAAACCTCGACATCGTCAGCGCAGGGTCACCGAGAAGAATATGAAAACAGAGGAGCGTGATCCGCGTTCATTTCAGAATCATCTGGCCGTCAGGTGGTGGAGATGTTGGTGTGCACACACGTGTCGAATGTAGCTCATTCCGAGGCGAACAAGACGCCATTGCAGGTTGCTGACGTGTAGATGCGATACCACCTAATGCAACACGCTGTAGCCACCAGTAGCATCGCCACACCTCTGCTCAACAGGGTCGTCTCCAGGGCCGACGCCTTCGCCAAGGATGGCCTCGCCTACACCAGGTAAGGGCGAGTTTCTGTTTTGATATTGCTCGAATGTATCACATCCTTTACGGGAAGACTGAAGCGGGCAGCACAGAGTCGTCGAGAAGAGTATGCCATGCGAGGAAAGCTGTTCGTGCTCGTTTCGAAGCCATCGTGACATCAGATTCGTGGAGGTGCACACTATTGTCCAATTTGCCTCAAACCGAGGCGAACAACAAGCCGTTGCAAATCGTGGATGTTTTATGTAAAAACGTCCAATGAAGCGCACAGTAAGCCCCACCCGATCGCCATACCTCTGCTCAACAGGGCCTACTCCGGGGCCCACGCCTTCGCCGACGACGGCCTCGCGTACACCAGGTGAAGAGCGAACGTTTCTGTTTTGATGTCGCTCGCGTGTATCGCGTGATGTATGGGAAGTTTGAAGTCATTAGTACAAAGCCGCCCATACAAGTGTGCCATGAGAGAAGCGTGATCGGGGCT